GGGATACCTGTATTCTTCAAACGGTCTTTGTCCATGGGGGGTGTGGGGTTATTGTCCTAGAACTACAGAGTACAATCCACGCAGTTGACAGGTTTCCCAAATTCGCTCGAGGCTAGGGCTGTTCCGCTCGTTAATTCGCTTAATGATTTTATAACTAATGAGGCGAAATGCTTTAGCAGGTCAACCTCCTGAAGCGCTTTACCTCTCTGTAAAGAGGAGGTTTCACTTGTAGAAAACATCTGTACCGAATGGGTTCCTCATAATGTTTGACTTGCAGGGGTTAAGGTAGAGGCCCGTTTCCGCAGCTGTGTTGCATACGGAAGCCGTTAGATGACAGAATGCTTCTCGTACTAGTCACCATGACAATATCAGCGGCGTAATCCAGGTTTGCGAGATATATTGAACTACACTTTCCCCCAGAATCACGCCTTCCTCTGTGAAAGAGTCAAGACTGTTCTAGAGAAGAAAGTTTAGAAAAATGTTGCATAGCAAGGACGAAACTATCTCTCTGACTCTACGGTTAACAGTGAACCATTGAGGTAGATCTCTTTCAAATTTGGTAGCAGATATGGTTCCTGAGATGCTTTTGGGCCTTGTCATGGCAGGTAAAATTCCTTTCTGCACTGGATGCTTGCCGTAGTTTACAATGTTGAAACTCACTACGACCTTCTTCGATATTGCCTGTTGGACTACATGCAAAATTACGGTCATTAATACTTAAAGCAGTTCATCTAGAGATCGGTCATTTCGATCTTCCAAAGACCTTTGGTCTGTAGACAAGGAATGAACCCGGAACGGGTGGCAAAAGGTGCTTGAATAATTAGTACTACAGTACGTAAGAAAACTAATAACTTGACCGCTCCTTTGAATTCTCAGAACGTAGTATGAAGCACCGTAAAACTGCGTGGCAGTCAACTTTGTAGATAATCTTTTCGCGAAAAGTTAGAGCTGAGGATGACGTCGAAACGTATTTTACGTTTAATGGCTTGACCAATTGTCGCGTTGGTACATCTGGTAATATGGGTCTGCTGGCGCTTTCCGTTATGTGGATGCTTTCAGCCCTTTTTTGTATATTTGCTGTTAGACCATTGGACAGGAAATAATCATATATAATTGTAACATTCCCTTGTAACTGTTCTCAGTCTTCGCGCGATTTCACGGATCTGACTATAGTCGTACGGTTGTCATGCACGGTCCATCGAACGCCAAAGCTAAAACGCATTTACTAGTTTCAGTGTAAAAGAGGGGCACAGAACGGAACCATATACGTTACAACCTCTTTCAGTGACGCTTCTGCTGTCATGTGAGTCTTCACATTCTATCTCCACATTCACGTTTTACATAACAGTAGCATTTTAAAGTTTCTTCAACATCTGCGATTCTATAAAAAAATCAAACCGTAGGTAGAGGTTTCGAAATGCGCTGAGTGACTGAATCATTGTGCGATTTCAATACTGGTAATAATCATGTATTTATTTATTTAGAACGCCCTATCAGATGAACTTTTAGTTTACGAAACAAAATAGTTTTTTAAGTTCTTCTAAATTTTTGAACGCTATTACTGCGTTTCGAAATGTCATTTTTCTGCAATTCAGTTATGACGCATTTTAAACCAGCGCACGCATAACTCGTCCAAGGCGAGGCATGCGTTACCGGTTGCCTAGCGGGAGAGGGCATTTATGCGGTCCACAGTTTTATGCTGTTTGAGCACTTGAAGCGGCAGGATGCACCTTCCATTATTTTAGTGGCTAGAGCAGTTCTTTGTTCATCGCTAGTAGTAATTCGATAAATAGTACTCCATGTATGCTTTCGTAAGACAAAACTTATAGATTCGTGTGCTGGGGATCCTTAAATTGCCCCTAGGAAATCTCCCATCGAAGTGATACGGTGTATCTAGGATCCGATTCTGTTCTTTTTGAATTGACGCAGTCACTTGCTGACATATTTTAGATGGTGGCCAGAAGCCGGTCATTGCAGTCACATGATGTAACTCTCTTGGATAATTTTATGCGTATTAACACATCAATTTATTGACATATTCTATTTTGAGCCTTCTTTTTGATGTTGCCGGTAAGGCATGTACGGGTTACCGATTCTTGGAACATCATCAAGAACGAGTAAGTATTACTCTATCCAGTAATTGATGGAATTACATTGGTGCACTACTGCTGCATCAGTGGTTCCCTAAACATCTCTTAGCAAGGGTTCAGCGCCATAACGTTTTAATTTCGTGGACTTATGACGTAAATATATTGTGAATACATACAAGCCTAGACTTATGTAAATTTAAACTTACGCAAATGGCTATGGAGCAGATTTCGAGTTTTAAAAATGTTACTCAACCCGCCTGCGTTTCGCTCGCCACCTAACAGCAGCCTTGCCCAAGACAGTTGACGCGTTTGCTTTTCTCTGTCTTGGTTTATTATTGAAGACACGTGCTGTATATCTGTTTTCATACACATTAATAGTTTTTAGTATTTGCGTGCGCCGTGATAGAGGACAAAATGACTGAGGAGAATATAATCTTTAAAACATGCTAATGCACTACCGTGTACGTATACTGTAAACACGTTAGCAGTAGGTTGTGATTAATTGGTATAGATGGATAATGTCTGACGAGTTCATGTCACAGAAGGATTTGCGGAACATACCTCATGTAAGTCACGCACGTTCTGTAATTTTTTTACGATTTTTCTAAATATAATCTTACTGTAGGTATTCGATTGTTATAAGCGTTGCATGTGTAAAATTTACGTTGATCATTGTTTGCTTCCAGTTACTCATGAGGATATCGACGCGCTTACGAAGAGTATTCAAGACTGATCAAGGACCGATTCCCAACCATCATTGTTGAGGGCGATAACTATCCGCCTCCCCCTATCAAAGCGTTTTTGGCTCAGGCGGTCAGCGCATTCAAGATTGTCATGTTGATTTCGATCATTTTCGGCATTAATCCGTTCAGCTACCTGGGCACTGGTACGCCTAACATATACAGCTGGGCAATGGATAACAAGGTAGTGTTGGTCTGTTGTTGTTATTATTCGCTATCTTGTGGTTCGTTGAGTTGCAACGTTGTTCAGTTTTGTTTTCAGTTTTGATGCGCACCTTTTGAGGTACGAATTGTTGATTCTCACTCTGCGAACTGTGTTGAAGTGATATGTATCATCTAGCGTAGACGAAAGTAACTTTGATCCAACACTGAGTGGAAGAAAGGGAAAGTTTGTAACCGTTGCATTGTCGGTCCTTCTCTCATGATACGGTTATTGTCGGCGCCCTTCTTTTCATCGAGTTCATCGTGGCGCGTTGATCTTCATTTACGTTCCATTAGCTAGGAGTGTTGTATTTAAAGGCAGGATCAACAACAGGTATGTAGCAGGCGTAGCGTACAGTCTGCTGTTTCCATCCGCATAGAGTGGTACTCATATGTCAACCTCAGAAAGAAGAAAGGCAAGTGACCCTACCAGGGCTTTAACTCGGTACCTCTCGATTCTTTCTTACACTCTGCTAACTGAGCAACCCAGTCATACCGGGGTAATTGTAGGTTTCCATTAAAATTTTTAATATTACCCACGCCACGCAAGGCAAATAGTTCTCTAAAGTGCATATCTGCAAAACTTGTTTTCGAGCGATCTTTCGTTGTTACGGCATTTTCACCGTTCGCCATATCTCCTGGATGGTGTTATGCAGCATCATACTAAAAGCCGCTGTTAGTCAAGTTTGTCAAATTTGAGACAGTGTTTGATCCTTCGGGTGATGTAACGCCGTAGCAGATGCTAATAGATGTCTAACGTATTGAAAGTAATCTCTACAGAATACTGGAACAACGTCGATAGTAGAAAAGTGCGAAACAGTTTCATATAGCTTTATCACTGATAACGGATTCTAGCAGGGGATCAGTCATCAGGCCCAGTGCAGTTCAGTTGCTTTACCGACTCGAATTAAGTTACTGTTTTTGAAAATTCTCGCCACTTACGGTCGACGCTCCTTTAAGTCATTGTCAGACTTCATACGCCAAAAATTCTGCAAGATAGTAGTCCTGTCATATTTTTCCTTATTGTACGAATATTAGTAGCATCGTTTCTTGTTTATTGATAAGTTTAGCTGCAAGCAAATCAAACTCTAGAGTTGTTTTCTACAAACCAGGCTCATATAGCTTTTCTTCAGCATGGTACTGTGAAAACTTGACTGAAAATCTTGACCACTCACTACTTTGCACTGGTACTTCAAGGAAAGTGTTTATCCGCCACGTTGTTACATAGAAACACTTAATTTAAGGTATACGCTTGCCTGATGCTGTTCTTCATATGCAA